GCAAAAAATGTAAATATAAAAAAGCAAACATGAAATGTACAAGCCGTTGTCATAGTGGTCATTCTTGTTTAAACAAGAAATAATGCATATATGCTAGTTTTATTTTTTTTTAATAAAATGCGAATTTTAAAAATCATGAATAAAAACTTTAGTAATATTTAAATATGTGATTTTAATAGTGCGTCGGTTTACAACTGATGTATCTCAAATTACAACTCATGCACGTCAGATGACCAATTGGCTAGTGACGTGCATCACCTAGAAATCAGCATCTGACGTGCGTCAGATCTAATCTGACACAAGAATCGATCTGAGGCACAACATATATAATCAACTTTTTATTTAATATATATATTTTTAATTTTAGACTTTTATATTTTTTTTATAAAATAATTTAAAATATTTTAAAAATTATAAATTTTGTTTTGATAATATTTAATAGTTTATAAATATACAAATTTAAAAATATTATTACTATAAACAAATAGATAATATTAAAAGAAAACCTAACTCTAATTATATAAATTTATATGATTAGAGTTAGGTTTCTATTAGTATTATTTAAATATAAATACAAAGACATAATAGTATTAATATATATTAATTTATATTTAACTTGAATTTTTTGTAACAATAGTCTTGAATTAAATATTAAATAAGTATTAATATATATACTTTACAAGAATACTAAATTTATTTTTTTTTAACAATAACCTTGAATCAAATATTAATAAAATATTAGCAAATATGCTTTACAAAAATACAAACATTATCTTAACTTTTCTATATTAATATTTTTAGTTTTTTTTAATAATAGACTTGGATCAGATATTAGAAAAATTAGCAAATATGCTTTATAAGCATATTGGTTGATTTGATTTTTTGGGCTTTTTTTTAATAAACTGTTATACGAAAATTTGCTTCTAAGTAATGTTAAAAAAGTAACAAATAAAGTACTTATTATAACTAACAAAAAGCTTTTTTAATATCTAGACTAGTTAAACATTTAATAAAAACTAATAAAGAAGCTATGCTAAACTATAGAAAGAAGTATTTTACCTTTTGTTAAAATATTCGAGTGTTTGAGGATTAGTTGTATATTGTTTAATTGGTTAGTAATTAACAAGGATAAATTTAGAAGCTAATTTTTAAAAAAACAGTCTTTTTAACTTACTTTTGGCTTATAACTAAATATATGAATTTTGTAAATTTTTATATACTTAATTAGAAATACAAGGCTAGTTAAAAAGACCATTTTGTGAAAATTCACTTTGCAATAAATTTTTATAGAAAATTTTTTGATAATCTTTAATTATGATTAGCTGATTTTGGGGTTAAAGCAAATTAGCCAATATGGAATACAAAATATCACTTTAACTTACTATATTATATACTATACTAATTTTCTTGTAAGTTTTTTTTGTTTAATAATAATTATGAATTAGATATATAAAAAATATTAGCAAATGTACTTTACAAAATATTAAATATTATCTTAATCTTACTGTACTATACTATTTTTTTAATAATAATCTTGAACTAGATATTTAAAAAATATTAGCAGATATATTTTACAAAAACTAAATTTATTTTAAATTTATTATATTGAATCAAATATTAAAAAAATATTAGCAAGTATATTTTCTTAAGTTTTTTTGTTTAATTATAGTCACAGATCAAATATTTAAAAAGTATTGGCAGGTGTATTTTATAAAGATATTAAATATTATCTTGATTTCACTATACAATACTATTTTTTTTAGTTTTACTAAAATATATTACTAGTATTTAATACTACAATGATCTTTACCAATTAAATTAAATGCTGCAGTGTAATATAAACATTAAATAAATATAAAATTTTTAAAAAAATAATAATAACTCAAAATTTTACTAATAAAACTACCTTTTTACTTCTAATAAAAAAATTTTTTGCAAAATTTTACTATATACTATACTTTATTCTAAATATTTAATATTTATTGTTATTTTTTATATTGTACAAAATACTGGTATTGAATACTAGTAATATGTTTTAGTAAAACTGTAACATTAATATATTATTATATTATATTTATTACAATATATAGATTTTTATAATAAAAATTTTTAATAATTAGCAATTTTATTATGAATTAAATATAATATAAATACTTTTTATATTTATTTATAAATTAAATAAGATATATATTTTTTTTTATTATACATCTAAATGTACTTTATATTTCTCTTGGCCAGATATTTCTAGATACCTTGGGAGTCTGTTGGTCTATTTTTATTTTTTTATTTTTAGACTATCTGTATCTCCTTAATCCATACTTGGTTCTCTAAATACTCTTCATTCGTTTTTCTGCCTGCTGGTAGTGTTTTCAATTTCAGCCTTTGTCTAGTCCTTCTTCCAGTGATCTGTTCTGTGCTCTTTGGTACTTCCCTTGCCATTTTTGGTTTGTTTTGGGGTTTCAGTTATCTTTTTGTTTCAGGTGTAGGCAGGAACCCCCTAAGTATCGAACCCTATGGTCTCTTTTCTTTTATTAGGTTGGTACAACTTGTCTTTTTTGTTCTTAAACTAGATTTTACTCAATTTTTGCGTTATTTGTTGACAGATTCATCTTATCTGGTTATTCTTGACCCTGTAGTTATGCCAACAGACTGCATTCTATACATATGAATACTGTTCCTTTTTTACATGGAAATTATTCTCAAAGATTCTTTTAGTCATTGTCCTGACAAAGATTCTTTCAGTCATGGTCCTGACAAAGCCTTTATCCTCTAGTTGGATTTAAACCCGCAATCTTGTGACTGTAATCTAGAAGCACTAACCACTTGTACTATCAACCCACAAGTCAAGATATTTTTTAAAATATATATTTAAAATAGTATACCCACTATGAATCAGGCCAGAACTATGATCTGAATAAAAATTTTGGTAATATAAAATAAACTTAGGTATATTATATAAAAAACAATGATTAGAAAACCTAGTATAATATTAGAACATCATATATATTACATAAAGTTTTGACTTCTCTATATGAAAGTCTCATCTAATTATTAGACCAATGTCTATAAAAGTTTAAAATTGGTAGAATGCACCAGACTCAGGTCTTGTATATGCACTTTTATAGTATTTATCTTATTATATATAATGCTTTTTAATCAATAATCTAAATTTTACTATATTTTATATATTATAAATAAATTAATAACAACAATTATTTTCTTAAAGTTAGCTCTAAGATTTAAAGCTAGATAAAATAAAGTATCAAGAATATTTGTTAATAATAATAGTATTCATAAACTACTTATATATATATAATATTTAATTAAAGTTTTTAATGATAAAATATTAAAAAGAAAAAATCTTAACACTTTAACAATAAATTTATTTTAATATTTAGATAGGTTTATTTTATATAAATAGTGTTAATCTATGTTTAAGCACT